TAAGGAATGTGCATATACGAGGGGATATCAAAAAGTTTGTGGACTAGCGCCATTAAATTAAAACCGCTTTAGGTACATCAATGAATTTTAAAATATCTATTTAGCATCATCTTTTCTATCTATAGAAAAAACCACAAGTCATAAATTTTATTCTTTAATAAATTAGTAATGTTTTCTAAAGCAATGGTATGTCCAGGCGGCGCAACCTCGAAAACGACATTTTTCGACCTAAGTGTAACTGAGAAAAAATTCGTTTGATTTGTACATCTGACTTCCAAAAATCCCTTTAATTCAGGCATGCGTCGGGACAGTTATATTCCGTAAAATGTGGAATTTTTGCCTCATTCTGGAAGTTCTATGAAATCTTAACATGGAGTGTCCGAACAATTAAGGATTGAAAATGACATCAAAAAAGGGGAGATGTTACCTTTTCCAACATTCTTTGAAGTTTTGCCCCTGAAAAAACTAGTATAGGCCTAGGAAATGTTTAAACTTGCTACGAAGAAATGGTTTGCATCCAGAGTTCTTGATTTTTAATGCCAAAATAAATTCAAAGAGAAAAATGATGAAAAATTAATGTCGATTTGAAGTCAAGTGTGAAAAATCAATCATGCCAAAAATAACGTTGATCATGTGTTGTAGCTATTGAACCTCAAAAATCAAAATATGAAGGCACAATCAAGCCAGGATCTCTCCCAGTGTAAAAATCCATTTGCAATACAATATACATTGAAACCCGCTGTACATGACTGAAAATTCATATGAACAAGACGGATTCAAGTCCTTACTCAGCTCTAGGGAATCTCATCAAAATCAGTGTATAAGGTAGAAGAAGCTGACAATGAAAAACAGTGACGTTGTAGGTCGTCATGAATTTAAACGGCGACAGCACCGGGTGATCATATGATGTCATTTTTATTTTATAATAATTTAGCAAACAATGAACGTATCAAGCTAAAATTTTCAATATTTCTTTATTTTTTGTTGTTTTATGTTCCTTATAAATTTCAAAAGCACAGACTACATAGTATTTATTTTATAGCCTCAGTCCACGAACTTTTTGATAACCCCTCGTATATTTAAGACTACATTACATTAATCTCAATTATATACTAGTATAATAACAACTATGATATTCATTTTTTATGTAGCTATCAATTTATTTACATTTGTAAAAAGACAACATTTCGAAAATTCATAAGTTTTCTACAAAAAAGTCGTTCAAGGTTTAAATGAAGCCTCTTTCATGATAAAAATGTGGGCTTTCGGTTGTATTTCATCTTGTGAATATTTTGGTCAAGAGTTAGAGTCATTTTTTTATAATTTAATTTCAAAATAAGTTAACAACTGTGGATTTAAAGTTGTATTGCTTCGAGTTCAAATTTACCGTTAAATAATAAACCGCAGTAACAGAAGTTACTGGAAGCAAGGGGAGGTAATAACTGATACATAGGCCTAGTAGGCATGTCTTTTTTATATGAGTTTTGATCGAGCTGCTGTTTGAAGTTAAAGGTTCATTTTTAAGGAGGCTTGGGTTAACAAATTAACACCAAATATAACTTTTTATTTAGATATGATGTCTAAAGTTGATAACTATCGTTTGGCAAAGAAAATTTCAAATAAATAGCTGTAAAATTTGATCATTTTTTTTTTTAATCTTCATATGGAGTTCTTCTTCTTAAGGAGATCAATATATTCTAGAATTGGCCACAACCACCAGCCCGTTTACATCTGGAATTTTCCATGAATTTTGAGTACATGAAATGAGAGGATTGCATGGATACATGTACAGATGATTCAGCTGGTTGTCAATGGGGTGTGTCCCCATACCAAGCCAGATTTAACAGAAGAATTTGCGTTTCTTATCGGAAATCATCCAATGAGAGGCTGGGTTACAAACAAAATTGAATTATATAGTACGCATTATCCGTCGTGTAAGCAAAAGTTAAAGGATCAGCCAACGTAACAGTTTCTGTTCAATTTGAGCATGATCTTCTATTTTCGCTTATGACGTGGCACTTCCTCGGCGTTCAACGATTAAGATGTCAAACTAAACGCATGCTTTAACCTCTTGGCCCTGTTATCGTGTTTTGATTGCAATAGATTTCCATTCACGTTATATGCAAAAACATATTTAATGTAAATATTGCTCTTCATATTGTTATTGGGATCTTGTGAGTCTGTATATTTGTAAATGTGTTCCTGCTTATCTACTTCGTCTACTTCAGGTGTATTTAAGGAATCACTGTCTAGTTAGTACATGTATATTATGCCAGGGCATCAACGATAGTGGGAAACATGTGATAACTTGCATAACGGACGAAGCCCATTATACATAAATTATCAAATGTTTCCCACTATCGTTGATGTCCCTGGCATACTACACTAGCTAGACAGTGATACCTTATATTCCCATTTCATTGTGAAATAATTGTAGATTAAGATTTTAAAAATGTAGACATATATTTAAATTACACGAGGACTCCCCTGCCAATTTCAATTTGGTCTTCACCAACTGACGTCAAACACAAAGGAAGCCGCACGAGATTTACATGCATATTTGACCTCCCTAGCCTTAGACACAGAGAGAGATGCGCACGAGATTTGCATGCACTTTAGTCCTCCCTAGCTCATTACCTATTCACCTGCCTTATTTACATTCCGGTAAAATTATCAACAAATCAACTCAACTGACTTTCAAAGAGTTTTCACAGAGAAAAAGAATTAGATATGGATATATGTAAAAACAACAATAATTATGTATAATTAATATTTCCTACAACAAAATGATCTGAAATTATATTTTAAAATGAATAAAGCTGTTTTTTTTTAAATATCTTCTCATTTTAATTTTTTCCCCATCTTTTTTAAAGCGGCAATTGTAAGCGTAGGATAACTATCTATACATTCGTCGAAAAAAATTCATGTAGTCCGATCGTAGGAAATTATGCGTATGGTTCTGTACATAGAAGTTCTGATGTTGTGGAGAATGAAACAACACATTTAGAAGCCAATTAAATCGTAGAAATTGAAACACTTTTGTCAATTGACTCTCTCGTAAAAGAACACTTAAATTTCCTTAAATGATGTTTGATTGATTGATTGGCCTGGATTTTTATTGTAGGTTGTCGTACGTCCGATTCATCTTAAAACAGACGTTACAATAAATCGCTGAGGGGCTTTGCATGCATGTTGTCCTTTACTCGGCAATCAATGCCTGTGAGAGATCTTTATCATGACAAAAACCTGTCGTGCCATCGGCCTTTTCTGATTTTTCGGTATCATCTGCAGGACCTCTAAGTTACATTTCAAAGCTCCGAGCTCAATGTGGAGAAACAGGTGTTACCCATTTTTTTCGACTTAAGTCAGTCGTGGCCGAGATTCGAACTCACGACTTACTAATAACAGTTAGAGCGCTCTTCCGAGTTATCGTGAACGGTGTTAATAATGTTAATAAGGAAAAAAAAGAATTTAATCTCTATGATGTTCACCTTCTTTTAAGTATTCATAGGTATGCTTTGCTATATTATCCATTTTATATATTAAAGAAACTTGTTTTTGTCGGTAAATGATGAATGAATGATTAAGCAAGTATGTTTAACTAGTCGATCTTTATTTGTTGGAAAAAAGACAACAAGGATTCTTAGTAAAAAGATGGATTTTATATATTAACGAATTGTTAAACTGAATCAAACTTCTATATGTTCAGCTTACATTTTTTAAGCCATAGAGAACAAATGCATACAATAAACAATCGTTATTTCATGAATAATGACGCATATTTCACTTCGATGTTGCCAAAATTTCATGCAAGTATCTCGTCAGACTTTAAAGCAAAGTGTCAAGGACATGATATCCCCTCTAAATGAAAATTCACATTAAAAAATCGCTATAGAATAAGACCTCCATTCGTTTTAATTTATGATTTGGTAGGCCAATGCTTTAAACAGATGCTTTTTGGTTAACATTTAGAACCTCCTTGGGCGTCTCGCATGTAAGTATATCTCTTTATGAATAATTCAGACTGTTTGAGATGATACTGGACTGCATGGAGACCAACTGGTGTTATTTCTATACGGCTAAAGGTGCTAATTAAAATGCTTCTAAAGTGGTTGATGACTATGTATAACAATATTTCAAGCTGGTTTTGATGCAAAACATTGACTTCGGACGAAGATTTAGACCACTTCCGGTTTGGTTAATTTAAACTTTGTCCAAAGCTTTCAAATTGCGATAATTCGACCAAAAAAAATGGCACAGAATCTATAGAAAACTGTGTTTAAATGGATTTTTATACTTGTTGTTTATTTTTAAAGTAATATCAAGGACAAAGAAATACAAAGATAAAAGTAAAAAAAAAGTGTTGAAACGACGATCCAGATATGAACAGTCTAACGACTCTCCCTTCTACCTAAATGGCCAATTTCCCCATGTGTCTGTGCTTTTTTTTTTTTTTAGTTTTTCCAGTTGTTAAAGAATAACGATGGTCACAAAATATACTGATTACACAAAACACGTGCTGCAAAACGCGGATTTATTGTTTTTTTAGTTTCGTCACGGGACATTGGTTTTTAGCGGACATAAATGGTATTCGTTCAACAATTGTTGTGAAGACTCATTGGTTATGATAATTTGAAAATATCAAACCGTTCTATTGTGTAGTTTTTTTAATAAGAGTGAACACTTAATAGTTTGGTTAAGTGCTTTTGTATCATAACCGTTCATTTGCTTTTTTTTTTATTTTAACATTTAACATTTAACATTTACATGTATCTTGTACATTGTACGATAAAGATGTTTCAGGCAAATACTTTAGTAAAAAATGGCATTATGAAATATACAAGTTGTTTTTGAAATGGTTTTCAAAATTGCATAATTTTTTCTCAAGAATTATATTTAGAGGTCTTGCTTAAGGAAAATTGAAGAGTTCAAGTTATTCAAATAAAATGAAATCTGATAAAAAAAAACTGAAAGTAAGCTCAAGTTTCGTATTCTCAATTCATAGTTCCGAGAGTTATCTTTAAGCCCCGCCCCTTTACGTCATCTTCGACGTGCATCACAAACATTCAACATGGCGAGCGATTCAGCCTCGGCAACAGATTCGGTGGTAGATGTTCCAGATACGATATAGGTGTCGTATCTTGATCGAAGTCAAGATTTATCCCAAAAAGTGTTAGAGAAGGGTTTAAATTATTTCACACAAGGTTATATTCATAATATTCGAGTGTCAAAGCCTGAAAATAGGATACGAGTTGATGCAAAATGCTGGCGATCCATGAGAAAGTCACAGCCGCCGTATTCGCTGCAGATCGAAATAAATGTCGAAAAATCAACTTTGACAGAATCGTATTGCAAATGCAAAGCTGGGTAGGTTTTTTTCACAACTATTTGATAAATCAAATTGAAAATTTAACGGAAAAATATTCATAATAGTTGCTGATAAACGTCAAAACATAGGCGCTTGTTACAGGATGGTGTATTTTGTGCATTATGTGTTTTTCAATATGTGTCTGAATACCCTCATTAAAATAAAAATTCGCCGAAATTAGCACGTTAAAACGTGCTTATTTCGGCGAATTTTTATTTTTATTTTATTGAGGGTATTTAGGCACACATAGAAAAACACATAATACACAAAATACACCATCCTGTAACCAAGTGCCTATGGTCAAAACAAAGTGAATGCACTTTTAGAAACACTTTATTAGTAAGAATAGTATATTTATCCTCAAATTAGGACTTTCTTTTCCTTACAGACTCGATGGTCACTGTTCACATATTGTTGGACTTCTTAAAACGCTGCAAGGCTTAAAACTGCACAATTTCAAAAATGCACCTGATCACCAAAGTTGCACTAGTTTACCACAACAGTGGCATGTTCCCCGGGGTACCAAAATAAAACCTGTACCCTTAAACCATGTTGTTGTTGCCAGGCCAAAAGAAAAAAGGAAGAGGAAACCAGTCATTTGCCATTTTGACGAAAATTACAAGTAATTCAAATTTTGACTCTACACGTGTACATTAAATAAAAAAAAATAAACGGTTATATCAAGTATCATTGTATTCAATGTATTACTTTCTAATGGGTCCCTAAAATACATGATTTTACACATTTTGTTGCACTAATACATGTAATATTCAGTCTCTTTTTTCTTAAATTTTGAAGACTTCCACGAGTAGACAATGATGACATAGAGAAGCTTCTAAACATAAAAGGTACACCGCTGGAATACATGATTTCTAAAGAAGCACCGAAATCACAGTCACACTTTGGAGAAGTTCAAACTGGCTCCATTTTGTCATATCAGGTAATTCAGTGTATTGAAGATGACAAAGAAGTCTATAAAATCACGCTCATGAATTTAAAAGCTACAATTTCATATCAAAATCAAGACCCCTTTACTTTTCAATCACCAATATGCAAGTTTCACTGAATATTTCATAGAGAAAATAACACAAGAAAAAATTAGAAGACAAGGATTTAATGCTTATCTTTAACAAAAGTGTCCTGAAAAAGTGTTAAAAAACAACAGATAGACCAGATTTTGTTAATCTTAGAAAACATTGAAGTTGGTATATCATGCTTTACAATTAAAAATTTCTTAATCTTGGCAATCAATCTCTCTATATGAATTCTATGTTTGGCTATTTTTTGGGTCATTTTAATTTCTCCAGATGTCATTTGCTTTCCTTCTTTTATGAAAGGTGGAATGTTGAGTTTTATATTAAGTTTATTTAGTTCTTCTTCAATTGTGAAGCCTTTGTCTGCCATCACTGCATCTCCATTCAGAATGTGTCCACAGTCTTTTAGAATTTCTAAAAGTTCCAGAAAACCACTGTCCTTAGTTAAAGCCTTATCTGAAATGGACCCCGTAAAAAGTTCTGAAATGAACATTACACTACCACGAGGATCACAACCAATGAGGCATTTGAGGGTTATGCTGCCTTTGTAATCCGAGTAAAATTGGCTCTGTAATCCTAGTGCACAAGGAGTTTGGGTTTTCATTTCAGTGCCATCTATGATTATCAAAGTGTTTGGAAAATCTTTCTTAAATTTTGATGGCATATTCTTTATAATTGTTTCTCTGTGTGGCCAAATTGATAATTGTCCAAATTTGAAATACATGTGGTCAATCCAAGTGTTGAAAACTACTCCAGCAGACTGAATTTTGAGTCCAAATTTTGTTGCTAAATCTGCCAAACTAAAATCACGTCTACAGCGGATAAGAGTAAGAAATAGACCATCGTCATTCGACAGATTTTTCAAATCACTACGTCCTTTTTCATAACTCAAGGTAAAATTGTCAGGGATCAAAAAAGATAAGAGTGCCAGAAAGCGAACATAGGTAATGCCAGCATAGTGTTTAAATAAGTTTTTATGATTGGTCTTGTTATTTAAAACATGGTTCACACCAAACTGTTCTGTTTTTACTTCCTTTATCTGCTGTTTTTTAAGGTCAGAAATGATGTTTTCTTGTTCTTGAACTTTCAGTTTTAGTGATTGTACCTCTGCTGTCATGGACAAGAATTCCAAAGGAGACACAACTGAAATAAATAAAATTTATGTATTACATGAAATGTATAATCAATGTTTGATAAATTGAATGTATTTATTTTTTTTTTACAGACTAGGAATCTTAAACATCATGAACCTGTTGACAGTGTAGGGTGTGGAGACACTACCCTTCACCATAAATCCCCCATTAGTTTGCCTCCAGAATTTGTAAATTTAAATAAAATAATGACAAAGGAGGAACTTAAAAAAATAGAGATTGATACAAGGAAACAAAACAATTCTTGTGAATGGTATCAGCACAGAAAGGGAAGGCTAACAGCTTCAAACTTTGGGAAGGTGATGCACAGGAAAGCAAGGCCTTCAGATTCATTTTTAAGAGACGTTTTCAACAGGTCTTCTAAATCATCCCCTGCCATGGATTACGGTCGCAAACATGAACAGGATGGAAAAGCCAAATACCTCGAAACATTTCCTTCTCGACATTTACATGAATGTGGATTAGTAATTAATAATGAATTTAATTTTTTAGCTGCATCACCAGATGGTGTAGTTTGCGATAATGGGAATTCTGGACTCATAGAAGTGAAGAGTCCTTATAGTGTAAGAAACAGGCACATAAATGAGGCATGTGATTTACCAGGTTTTTATTTGAGAAAAAATGGCAACAACATTAGTTTAAAGAAAAATCATAACTACTATGCACAGATTCAAGGGCAACTCATGATAACAGGCTTTACATTCTGTGACTTAGTTGTATATACACAGAAAAGTATTTTTGTAGAACGCATACAACCCGATATTGACTTTATGAAAACAATGTTGTCAAAACTGAGTAACTTCATGAAAGACTATGGTAGTTAAATAAAATAACCTACAAAATATCTTACATCTTTCACTTGTCTGTGTGCTTTGCTCAAAGGTTCCACTGCACTCAGTTTCATTGAGCTCTTGAGGATCCGAGTTTTCCCTAAAAGACACATTGTCACAATGTCAGTTGTGTATTAATTTCAATGTTTATTCATGTATCTGATAAATAATTTGATCAATTTCCTACTCTTAGAAAAATTCTATAAAGCATATGGGTATAATAATGAAGCTTGAAGGATGAAAATATTCATACTTATCCAAAAATACTTCCTCCAGCTTCTGTTTTTTTTCCTTTGGTGTTGGTTTTGAAGACTTGCATGCTTTCCGTTTATTTGGTAAGGGTCGACTTGGAGTGCATGTACCTCCACATGCAGGAATAGGATCTGGATATGACTGAGTTGGTCTATTTTCCCCAATGAAGTGCTGTTCAAATACACAAAATATATTAAACAAATTTAAATAATGCGTGTGTATTCTTGAGATGTTCATTTCTCATTAATCAAAGCTTATGCCTCACATGTGTATTACACTATCAGTACACAGTTTAAGGGTACTTGTATTAAACAGGTCCAGCAAAATCTCTCTTTCTCTCTATGTATATATCTATATTGCTTAGTCAAAAGATTGTGATGGCCCCGTTAAACAGTGTATGCTAAAAATAGTTTATATATGCAACTTAGCAATAACCTGATCCATCCCAAATCTGGGCTTGACACCCTCGTTGAGTAAATATTCACCTATGCTACATATATTAATAGCCTAGTACTTCCGGGTATTAATTTCGACATCTTTATTATGCCTACATACAGTCTGTATGTGTAATACATAAACAGATAAAATGTCTCTCACTCTGAATTAATAACACCACAGCACAAGCCACAACCACCTGCATTTGGCATTTTACACATACTTACTTTACTGCACACAACTTTGTTTCTATTTCCGTCAATATTGTTTACATTTAGTTGATGATGAGGACGACCACATGCTTTAATCCATCTTAAACACTTTTCTTGATCCTGTTTAGGCTGGGGAAACGGAATTAATCGAACTCCAATTAATCTTTCGGGATATCTTTCGTCTGAATTGCAAGTACCCCACACACATCTTCTTACCATCGTTGAAAAATATCACGTATCACATTTTCGCCGCATTCTGTTTGTGATGCATATGGCGTCTCATGAAAGTTACAGATGCGGGCAGAATAAATCGAATTATTTGATTGGCTGAATAATCATATCTCATTTAAATATCGGATCGATGAATTATATATATATATATTTTTTTTTCCAAAGAAAGGGTTATAGGCTAAATAAACCTATAATCAAAAAGGGAAATTTGTATTATATTACATGTCTGGCTAATTTTGATTATTGTATGAATGATTTGTTTTTGAATCAAATGCTTTTAATCAACGCAGGGGTAATACGAAAGTATACAGAATATTCTACTTTGACTAAATCATTGAAACATTATGACTTCATAGTAGGTAACATGACGTCAATTTAAAAACACAAGCTTTCGTAATATTGGTATATAGAGGTGTAATTCAATTTTAGAAAATGAATAGAAACGTGTAAACATTAATAAAATAAAATGTTTTGATTTTTTTATGCTGTATCTGTCATTTTGATTAAAATCTACCACCGATGACATCATGTGTGTACATCAGGTAGCTTGGGAATTGTTCAAGTCGTGTAAAGAGAATTTGGATAAGACCGCATGTACAGAGATGCGTAAAATGTTTAAAGCAAATATCGTGAATATTATGTGAAAATCATAAAGAGTTCAGTGAGTTATACAGGTATGCTAATTTATTTTCATTGACTTATTCTCGCTCGAAGACAGTCAGAAATATAGTAACGTAACCCGGTCGGCCTTTCCTCTGTCAAAATACGCAACAGAACACCAAAAACCTGGATATTACAAAACATAAGATTTGTACAGATTGAAAGCTTGCCTTCTAACATACTTGGAAAGTGCCGAGAGAATACTGAGTTAAGCATGGTTTTACGAATAATCTCGGTTCATATGTATAAAATTCAAAATATTTGGTAAGGTTTTGTGCAAATGTGTGGAATAATTATTTAACTGACAGGACAGTGGGATACTATTAGCACTTTTTAGGGAAAATAGATGTTTTTCAACTAAATTATAAACTCAAAAAAACAAAAAAAAATATTTAACTCCGGGGTCTTGTTGTGTTGTAAGTTTTTTTAAGTAAGGGATATTTTGCTATTAATAAAAATCACGTGACGCCATGGTGCTGATGCACCTTTTTGCGTTATACACTCTTTTATCTTTATACAATAGTTAATTATAATTTACATTTATCTGAGATTTTGGTAAATTATCAAACTTTATTTTTTATAATGTCTAAATTTCCTTAATATTCCCGCGAAGCGAATAAACGCAATGATAAATACAAAATAAATGACACGTTTTCATTTGAAATTAAAATATCTGCGAAAAGTATATGTACATTGTATTATATAATGATATTAAGAATATTCGTGACTTGCAGTTGTTTTTTAATTGCCTGAGACTTTTTGAAGCTATCAAAATAAATGATATTTTTAAACAAGAACTAAGATGACAATGAATAATAATTCATCATCATATAAATACTGAATAGGATTTCGATTTCTTACAAATGACGATTCTTTTTAATTATAAAGTTCAAAAATGATTATCTGGTCGGAATTCCATTTGATTCCCATACTTATATATGCCTTTTGTCACTTCAATCAATAACTTTAGTTATGAGCAGAGGACATCTTTAGATCCCTAGTATTGATTCCTGCTCAGAAATTAGTTTCCTTTAAATTCATGTAAAGGACCCTTAATCTATAACATAAGAAATATTCAACAAAAAACTAATATTTCTTAGAGTCACAAGCAATAAAGTTTATAATTTTCATTAGATGGTAGAATATCATGTGGTATTCTTCTATTCTTGATGTTGATAAGAAAGTGTTCAAGCAGAATATAATTATAAAATTGTACATTGTAGCTTTTGTCTAAAATAAAAAAGAATTAGCTCAGTCCAAGCAAATCAAGGACTGCAACCAGTGTAGATTCTTAATTGTACGCAAAAAAATTGTTTTTGCGTAATTTCACGAGATGCATCACTCGCGAAAATGTGTTACTCGCTTACATTTTAACTTTGCTGAAATGTATGTAAAGTCTGTTGATCAACTGATCATTCGCGAATAACAATTCTTGCGATTTGATGTTAAAGAGCCAGTTCGCAAAAAAAAGAAAAAAAAACACTTGCAAAAAAATAAGGAATCTACAGTATATGTTAATTAATTTACATTGTCAATATCAAAAACTTCATAAAAAATCTGTTAGATAAATCTGTAGAATGCATTGATTTCAATGAGACAAATGGGAAAGTTTTTCACGCTTCACATAATGTAGATTTAATTTCCATCACTACTCACAAATCTTTAATTAATAAATAAAAGTGTTACATCTGGATGTTGTTTTCACACTTTTCACGTCATTAATTTTTTCTGAGCCTCGGTAATTGCAAAATTCTCTTCTTTAGTGGAAACATTCCATCTTTCTTATGTAATGTCTTTTCTATCATAACGTGCAAGTTGTTCATTCTGTAGATTCCATTTAAAATATTACTTTTGAATTAAAATGTGGTTTTAAGATATTTTCCCTTAAATTTGTATCGTTTTGAGAAAAAACACATCAAAATCAGAACATATATAACACAAACTCATATATTTTAGCTAATCTGGTTTGATCCTATGCTAAGAAAATGTAAACGTGAGACATTTTAACGCTACCTTTTATATATCTTCACATGAATTCTGCTATTCCAAAATTCTGTAGAAAATGAAGTAAAAATAAAGTAAAAGTCAGGAATTATATTAAGAGTAGAACTGCAATGTGCTATTATTGCACATTTTTAAACGAAATTTCAAAAAAGATTTTTTTTTTTTCAGTAAGGAATAAAATCAATGTATCAAGGGTAAATGAACTTAAGTAAAAGTCCATTACTTTCATACATGTATCAGTACAATCCTTTCCATTCTGAAAACAATCATTGGCACAAACAACATCTGTTATTTGGCATTCTTTAGATGTTTTGTTAACCAATTTTCTTCAGAGTACCCCCCTGGACAAGGTAAAGTAAGAGTCAAATAGGGAAAAAGTAAATATTAAGCTGTACGAGGGGCGTTCAATAAATAATGTCATTAGGGCTCGGAAAGAAACAAAAAAAAAAAAATAGAAGAGGTCTTTCCACCTTCTTTGAATTTTAAATTTGTTTTATACCTGACTCCTTAAAATTAAATTCCATGGAAAAGAAACCAGAACTCTCTTAAAGCATAGAAAAAAAATGAAAATTAAAAAAAAAATTAATGACCTTGACCTTTGACCATGAAAAAAAATATATTCAAGGTCAAAGGTCAAGGGTCATAATGCAATTGACCCCATGCTTCTATGACTAATAGTTTTCAAGTTATAAGGTCTAATAGTAAGTACAAAGAAGTTAAAGGGCAATAACTCATATAAGGGGTCATCAGATCCATTTGCACTTATACATTGAAGTTAGGCATAAAGACCCTTGACTCATTAGTGAAGGTTTGATGTCTCTACAGTCTACGGTTTCGGAGGAGTAGCGATAACAAGGTTTTTCGCACAAGGGGCAATAACTTTTAAAAGGGTTAATATTAGGGAACAAGAGTGAAATCTTTGAAATAGTTTGAAGAGTACATTATTAATGATGCTAAGACAGTTTGTATATTTTAAAAGACAAAAAAGATATAAAAAGAGCTTAATTTCTCAATTTTGGAATGACCTTGACCTTTGCATGAATATTAAGATCAAAGGTCAATAAATCTTATGCAGTTGGTTCCATGTCTCTACAACTTGTTGTTTTGAAAATTTTTAATTATTTGTAAAATTCAAAAAGTTTCAAGGGGCAATAACTCATTGAAGGGGTCACCGAATGCTTTCGCAATAATAGATTGAAGAGTCCCCATAATTAGGCAAAGCCATTAGTGAAGGTTTCATACCTTTACGGTTTACGGTTTTAGAGGAGTAGCGATGACAAGGGTTTTTAGCTCAAGGGGCAACAACTTTTAAAAGGGTCAATCTTAGGGGCCAAGATTTATATCTTCTAAAGAGTTTCAAAAGTACATATTAAAGACATAAGATAGATCGTATATGTTTAAGGACATAAGAGCTATTAAGAGAAATTTATTTCTCAAATTTGGAATGACCTTGACCTTTGAACTTGAAATGAATTTGAAGGCAAAAGGTCATTGAATGGTATGCAGTTGGTTTCATGTCTCTACGACTTTTCGTTTTGAATTTTTTTTATTTTTTGTAAAATTTATAAACTTTCAGGGGCAGTTACTCATTGAAGGGGTCAAAGAAAACTTTTGCAATGAATAGATTGAAAGTCTCCTAAATTAGTTGAAGACAATGGTGAAGGTTTTATGTCTCTACGGTTTACGGTTTCTGAGGAGTAGCGATAACAAGCTTAACGGTGAAAGGGCCAATAACTGCGTAAAGGGTCTAAGTTAAAACATAGGGGGTCATTTTTCTGAATAACTTTAAATATCCAGTATCAAGAACTATAAAGTTTTTCGATAAGTCTTACGGTGTCAAAACATAAGGTGAGAAATAAAATAAAAAACATAAGCATTTCAAGAGGTCTTTCCACAGAAAGGTGGAAAGACCTAAAAAACGCTTTTCTATGACTTATTCTTAATGATTTAGCGAAAATATTCTTGTTTAATTAAAACACATTTACGTAACATATTCATTCAATTTTTAATTGTTTTTCGAACACATTCTTGAGGATAACCCTTCGTATACTGGAATATGGCAGATCCTATGATTTGCTGTACTTGTTTTTTTTTCTTTCTGATACATGTTTTTTTCTAATTTTGGGAATGAAACAAGTCAAGGTTGAGAGATCTGGCAAATTTTGTTGGTGTGACAAAACATTAACTTTTTGTTTATCCCCAGAACTCCTTTACTCTTCATGGCCTGTAAGTTTGGTCGCTGTCATGAAGAAATTTACATAAGTGAATTCCTTATTCGGTTTCATTCCTCTCATAAAGAGCTATATGTGTTAAGGGCTTGTTTAGGCCCCTACTTGAATTTTTTTTTTAATTGATCATGGTAGATGTTGAGGTCATCAAGTAACTCATGAAGTATATCTTTAATTGTTCAACCCACTCGTTTCCATGGAAACAGCCTTCTGTAAAATTCTTTCAAAATGCTACTCCTCCTACAGTTTTGGTCTTATTTCAATATAACTTGGTATATAAGTAGACGACACTAAACTACACAATTCTGTTTATCGGTTTTTGATTTCAACGAATGTTGTTGGCATTGTCACTAAAAGTAGAAATTTCTGTGAAATTCTTTCAAAATGCTACTCCCCCTATAGTTTTGGTATGATTTCAATATAACTTGGCACACAAGTAGACTACACTAAGGTACATAATTCTTTATATCCGTTTTTGACTTCAATATACATTATTACCTTGGTTAATAAAGATATCAATTTCTGTTACTCTCAAAATGCTACTTCAAATACAGTTTTAGTCTGATTATAATATAATGTGGCATGCAAGTAGACTACACTAAGAACATAAAGAGACTTATTCAAGGATCATTATTCTCTTTTTCTAGTGTAAAGTTTCAATTCCCAACTGCTTAAGTACTTTCCTCTTCCTTTGCTATAAGTACAAACCAGTAGAGCTTCAGTCTCGACAGAGACTTCTGGTTCATTATATACTTTACAGCAATCTGTAACAAATTTTTATGCTTTGAGAGGAATTAAGTTTGTCCCATGGGCATAATTATCAAGCACTGGTCAAGAAGAATTTTGATAGCAGAAACTTGCATGTCAAATTAGAGAGAAATTAATGAGTTTATTGTCAGGAGCTAAGAGCATCTCTAGATCTGATGCAGCTGTTATCTTAATTTATCTCTTGGGAGTTGGGCAAAAAAGAAATGGCCTCATAGTTGCTTGTGTTAATTAAGATCGAGTTCTTAATGGCTATAGTCCAGATAAAGATCTTCCAATTGGTGTAATGTAATTAAAACAAATTTATGTTTTAGTGTATGATTAAAACTAAATTAGTATTGTATAATATAATTAAAACTAATTATACAAATGTTCATTGAAAAAATATATATATTTCAATTTTTATATATTTGCAACAAATTGCAGTCATGTCTCACTTAGAATTTTATAGTCTGAAGAAATTATAATTTATGTTTGATTTTTTTATTATTAAACTGTAGCATTTCTATTATTTCATAAAATATGCAATAAACAATTTAAGTTTAAATAAGCTGCAGATGGATATTTGTTATGCTCTAACACAACCAGTTTAGAGTAATATGATGTATTTGATATAATCAATCCCTACACTGCAAGTCTCTTAGAGATGTATGATAAGAAATGGAAATTAAATCATTGAAATCTGTGTCAATCTGTTAATCAAGGCTACCTGATTTTCTTGCATCCTAACCAATTTATTATTATTGAACAATATTTGAAGGGCGTATCATGATGTGGCGCGGCACTTTATTTTTGTTTTTTGTTTTGATTTAACGTAATTTTTTTTGGGGGGGGGGGTTAAAAGAGCTATATGTGTTAAGGGCTAGTTTAGGCCCCTACTTGAAATTTTTTTTAATTGATCATGGTAGATGTTGAGGTCATCAAGTAACTCATGAAGTATATCTTTAATTGTTCAACCCACTCGTTTCCATGGAAACAGCCTTCAACTTCCAAACCTTGGAATCTGACTATATTTGGCATAGATTCAAAAATGCACCTGTATCATTTAAAGAACATTTACAAAAAAAAAAAAAATTCAGTTCATCTCTTAATTAATCAAAATTAAAAAAAATTAAAGTTTACATTAATGAATCATAATAAACTTAAGTTTCTGTTTCCATGGCAACAACTGAGAGATAATAATAAGGAAACAAGTACTAATAGTTAAAGTTATATTATTTCATTTTTCTCCATAATTACATAAATGGTTAAAGTAATTTTGAATTAACAACTTATTTTTTCATACTGATAGAACAATTCATTAATTACAGTGTATTTTAAAAGATGAAAGATCATAGACATCATTCTATTGTATACTTATACATTATACACTCAAAGTATGTAGAGTGACTGTTCACATTCTATTTTATACTTATACATTATACACTCAAAGTATGTATAATGACTGTTCATATTCTATTGTATACTTATACATTATACACTCAAAGTATGTAGAGTTCACATTCTATTGTATACTTATACATTATACACTCAAAGTATGTCGAGTTACTGCTCACATTCTATTGTATACTTATACATTATACAATCATAGTATGTAGAGTGACTGCTCACATTCTGTTGTATGCTTATATACATTAAACACTCAAAGTATGTAGAGTTCACATTCTATTGTATACTTATACGTTATACACTCAAAGTATGTCGAGTTACTGCTCACATTCTGTTGTATACTTATACATTATAGACTCAAAGTATGTAGAGTGACTGTTCACATTTGATTCTTTAATTATACATTATAAACTCAAAGTATGTAGAGTGACTGTTCACATTCTATTTTTATACTTATACATTATAGACTCAAAGTTTGTAGAGCGACTGTTCACATTCTATTGCATACTTATACATTATAGACTCAAAGTATGTAGAGTTCACATTCTATTTCATACTTATAAATTATACACTCAAAGTATGTAGAGTGACTGTTCATATTCTATTGTATACTTATACATTATAGACTCAAAGTATGTAGAGTTCACATTCTATTTTATACTTATAAATTATACACTCAAAGTATGTAGAGTTCACATTCTATTGTATACTTATACATTATACACTCAAAGTATTAGTTACTGCTCACATTCTATTGTATACTTATACATTATACATTCATAGTATGTAGAGTGACTGCTCACATTCTGTTGTATGCTTATATACATTAAACACTCAAATTTGTAGAGTTCACATTCTATTGTATACTTATACGTTATACACTCAAAGTATGTCGAGTTACTGCTCACATTCTGTTGTATACTTATACATTATAGACTCAAAGTATGTAGAGTGACTGTTCACATTCTATTTTATAATTATACATTATAAACTCAAAGTATGTAGAGTGACTGTTCACATTCTATTTTTATACTTATACATTATAACTAAAGTATGTAGAGCGACTGTTCACATTCTATTGCATACTTATACATTATAGACTCAAAGTATGTAGAGTTCACATTCTATTTCATACTTATAAATTATACACTAAAAAATATGTAAGTACTTTTCATATTCTATTGTATACTTATACATTATAGACTCAAAGTATGTAGAGTTCACATTCTATTTTATACTTATAAATTATACACTCAAAGTATGTAGAGTGACTGTTCACATTCTATTGTAACTTATACATTATACACTCAAAGTATGTAGAGTTCACATTCTTTTTTATACTTATACATTATACACTCAAAGTATGTAGAGTGACTATTCACATTCTATTGTATACTTATACATTATACACTCAAAGTATGTGAGTGACTGCTCACATTCTATTGTATATTTATACATTATACACTCGAAGTATGTAGAGTGACTGATCACATTCTATTGTATACTTATACATTATACACTCAAAGTATATAGAGTTCACAGGTGTGTATGCTCAAATATTTTGATACAGAAAAATTTACTTTGTGATTTTACATATTTTAAACATGTTTTTTAAAAACCTAAAAAAAAGTGAAATCAGTTACATTCATGATTAATCACAATGTCCCTCAATGTAGATCTCAAGAGGCTAGAAAGATTTTTAAAATGAGTTTAAGTTACAACAATGGTTATATTCAATAAACAAGAGAGATTCTTTCTATACCAGGTACATGCATCTACACAATTATGTTAAGTTTCATGTTCTCTGCAATGTAAGACTTTTTCTGTTGAGGACAATGAGATAGTTTCTAAACTTTGTCGTGTCACTCTATCCCAAAATCCATAAGACACTGGCTACATGAGCGCAGCACCCGACCATTCTGGCTCCAACTTTCAAGTGCAGTACCACCTTTTAATAGGGAGATCAGTTCCACAAGAGTAGTCAATCCAGAGAGTGTGAACTGCAGCCTTTGTATGTCTTGACTGGATCTTAACCTGCAATAGCGATTCACTCTCTTTGCAGACCAACAAATCAAAATTTCCTTCTTCTGATATATGCTCCCGTGCATAGTTCGGTGCTTGCTTGATTTGATAGACTCCAAGGGTAATGGATCTCAAAATATCTAGAGATAGTCTTGGAAAGTCCTGTAATGATTCTCCATCGAGTTTTCTATATGCAGATCTTCGTCTAGCCAAATTGTTTTCTTCAACAAACAGTTTCAATGATTTTCCATAAGTGAACGTTGTAACATCTTCTCTGCTATTTTATCATCTTCTGGCTGGTAAATTTAAATGCCCAGTTATATTTGTTCAGCAATCCACACATAATTTTTACAAGGTTCCAATGCTTGGAATATGTTTTGGGGTACAATCTTATAAAAAAAAAGAAAGTGTTTGATCCTAGCATTTGTACTCTCCACAACCCATCGGCATTTTGTTACAAGGCGTGTGAGATTAGCATTTTTGGTGGAAAGTTGTTTCAACCCTTTTGGGAACAGATGGGCATTTTTACCATGTAACCACTTTTCCCTAAAAACTTCACAGCATCCTTAAATCCTCTGTCAACAAGGAAGACGTCATCTTTTTGAAACCAAGATGACATGTTTTCCACGTTGTTTGTAATGGCATGCTTTGTGATTGCTGCATCATTGTTATGGCCATCTGGAAGTTGGTCCTAATACTGATAATATATATCCATCTGTTCCAAAATGCCCATGGGTTTGACCAACGGTCTATGCTTGTGCATACTGAAGGACATTCTCTGAAATCGATAGTTTTGACTTTCTGAATAAAGATGTATGTTCCGTCAAGGACTACAACAGCTTGGCCTGGCTGGGTTGTAAACAACTTCTGAGCTATTGGAGTGGTATGACTGGTGGCCATGTCATCATGGTTGATATGTTGAAAACCCACTGTGTGCGGAACAAATGTTTCCATGAGCGTTCTCCTCACTGCATGTGTAATTCTTTGAACATAGTTGTCTTTAATCCAAATATTGTGGCCAGAATTTTATTCGCCAATCCAACCCTTAATTTCATAAGAAATACACCAAGGCATGTCCTGACTGATTGTTTCCAGTATTTCTCACGGTTGACAAATACTAACCATGCATTGAAGTTTTTTTTTGCCCCCAGTTAGATCCTTATAGTTATCTTCTGTCAATAGAGATGACACATAAAGTTCAAATGGGTAGATTTGTTTCATTCTTGCCTAAGATTACTAAAAGATCCAGTATATCTGTGCGTGAAAAAAATTCAAAATCCTTTGATGACTGCATTTTTCAATGCTGCTGATGTGAAGTATTTATCATTCATGTGCTTTTTGCAACAACGATTTTTCTGTGAAATGAAAATTCCCTTTTCAACAAATACTTGGGGTTTTGTCTGAAGTGACTTTATAATCGATGGCGATGATTTGCTTCTTTTTTGCAGACAATACAGTAGCGATGAGTCTTTGGTGCTGATTTGATGTGCAGTTTGATAAAATTTGGGGAAGAAAATTTTAGAAAGATCATCCTCATTATCCTCTAGCATGGTAATTTGCATGGTTCGACTTCTCGTAGAAAGAGTTGACCTTGTTTCTTTTCAGACCCCCAAACAGTGCTACTACACCTCAGAAACGAACCGTACCGTTGTGCAGAAAGCGTACCGTACCGTGCACAAAGCATACCGTACCGTCCACAAAGCGAACTGTTCCGTGCACAAAGCGTACCGTTCCATGCACAAAGCGAACCGTTCCGTGCACAAAACGTACCCTACCGTCCACAAAGCGTACCGTTCCGTGAACAAAGCGTACCTACCGTCCACAAAGCGTACCGTTCCGTGCAAGAAACAACCGTACCGTTCTTTGGTTAATTATGCAAACCACGCCCCCCATGATTTTTAATCGTATAATGACCAAAATAAGTCATTTTGGTTTATTTTCGCTACGGCCCTGTGAAAGGGGACGGAGGTTGTGTCTGCCTGTTCGAAACACTATTATCATGCATCAAGCGTCTGGATCTTCAACTTCAAAAGTAAGGAAACTACTCGAAGCAAACTACAACTGCAAAACAACTAGACAGAGTGTGAGACGATTCCTTATTTGATATAAATTAAATCAACTGGTTGTGTTTGTGGTCAAAGGTACAGTACGGCCCGGTTTTTTTCCCCAAAACACGTACGGGGCACAGTGGACCTCGAACAATGTCGGCGTCTTTGAAACTTTCTTTTTATTCTACAAATTTTAGCAAATTAAATCAATTTTCTTTTGAAATATTGGCTGTATTTAAATATTCGTAATTGAACAATACAGATATTTAAATAATATTATAAGATGCCCCCAAAAATTTAATATAATTGTGCTCGTGCCCGGGGGAAAAAAACCCGCCTTAAATGTATACATGTACATTAATTCATGTTTCATAATCCTATAATTGTATTTGAAATAAAAAAAAAATTCAATTGACTATAATACCACTAAAAGAACACACTTTCATAAATTTAAATTTCCCGGTTGTCTCTACTTTTGATTTTAATTCTGCTCATTTAAATTATTAATTTAAATCTTTTCGGAGACAAGATCGTTTTTTTGTAATTGCTTCATATGTAGTACATTCAGATGCGTGATTTTACTAATGAATTATTTTGTAAGAATTTTAAAATATATATAAACTGTCAAATTTAAAAAAAATCCGTATTAGACTCTCACATTAATTCTGTTAAGATTCTTACATAGGCGAATCATTGGTGCAGTTATACTTGCACTGAAAAACTGTAATCATGTAAAATATGGATTAAAATTTCATCGGTAAACATGAAGAATTCTACTGAACAGACAGAGATAATAATCTTTACTAAGAAAATTGTGATCGACTTTCACGCTGCATACAAAAAAAACCCAGCCAATTTCTTGCAAATAAAATGTGCAAACTGCAGAAAAATTATTTATTCTGAAATACTTCTCAGGAAAAATGAAAAAAATAACAGTTTGCGAAAAAATAAGATTTATAAGGTTTGTTACACTGTACCTCCATCCCCTTTCTAAAACAAAAGAATTAGCTGGTTAAAAGTTCTTTTAAAAATCTCAAAATAACTTGTTGTAATTTAAAATCAATCATAATCTACAGGAAACATTTTTATAAGTGTCTGAAAAAAGATAATTTACTAAATAAAATGAAATTAAAAAAATGTATATCAATCCTCTTTTAAGCCATATTATGTTTGTTACCCCCCCCCCCCCCCCCCCTAGAAGGCGATACTTATACAACTTTAAATTGTGCTTTTGTTAAAAAAAAAACATTATTCAGGGTAAGGTATTCATTTTTGTATGACAAGGGATTTTAAAAGGGGTAAATTTGTTAGTGTTGTGGTGAAACCTGGAAGATCAGTTTGCTGGATGTCTGTTGAGCGATTTAATACACTTGATGTGGTCGGAACTAAATACCGGTAATTTGAAAGGTGTTTAAACCCCCCCCCCCCCCCCCCGTCTCTCCGGTAGTGACCCAATATTTTTTTTTAACAGGTGTGAACTATGAACTGACGAAAAAAATTTTCAAATCACAGGAGAAATTTTCCTGCGTACCAGCTTTTGGGTACCTAGCGTCATGCCAATTTGATTGACAAGTGATGCCGGGCAACATGCATGTACAGAAACGGATTATTCATTGCACAATAGTTGTAAATGGGTTGATTTAATAGTGACTTTGGCGATGTAAATAAAACGAAGAATGAGAATAAATACAAGTTATTATTTTTTTTTTTTTCAGAAAAGTACATGTATTTAAAGGGGTTTTCATCTTTCCCCTCTCTCTCTCGCGACATTGTTTTTACAGACTTAACAAGAATAGAATAACTTTAAAAAAATAAAAAAAAATTCTAAAAATAATTACTTAATACACTGAAAGGATTATTGAAAACATAAATACCTGTCTGTGAAAAAATGTTTCTTGTTTCGAGAAAGCGCTCGGAAGTTATTGTATTAATTTCGTTGTGTCTGCTGTTGATTTTTGTATTTATTTTGTTTACTGATATTTCTCTTCTGAAGGAAACGTTTAAGCGATAGATCTACAATCTATGTGCTTAGCGTTATATATGTATAGAACAAGTATATACCCGGTATATATTGATTCCTTTTAATTATGTTACAACTTTATTTTAAAGTGAAAAAATATTTCATTTAATTGTTTTCCTTTTTCAAATGAAGGGTCAGCATATAAAAATTTAAAAACGGAAATATTTACGAACTCTATATATAGTAATACATATATATATACATAATGCCAAAGACATCGGTGGGATGATGTTTTTTCTTCCTTTCATTTTTTTTTTTCATTTTTCCTCCATCACCGCTGTAGTGTAAAATGTTTAAATTGAAACCGAGAAATTAATTTGTTAATAGCTGAAATATAATTATATACATGCATTAAGTACTTCAAAATATTTAAAATGAATAAATTTTTAGCAGCCAATCAAGAATTAAAACTAACAGGCTCCGCCCACTTCATTTGCATACCGTTTCTCAAAGCGTACCGTTCTCAAAAAGAACCGTTCCGTCCACAAAGCGTACCGTTTCGTGCATTCAGCGAATCGTACCGTCCACAAAGCGTACCGTTCCGTGCACAAAGCGAACCGTACCATGCACAAAGCGTACCGTACCGTTCACAAAGCGAACCGTTCCGAGCACAAAGCGTACCGTACCGTTCACAAAACGAACCGTTCCGTTCACAAAGCGTACCGTTCCGTGCACAAAGGACCGAACCGACCTTCAAGTGGTGTAGTAGCACGGTTTAGGGTCTGTAAATCTTTGCAGCATGTGAGCCAGACATCCTATAGTAATTACACGCTGCAATTCTTTGGTAAGGTATATGTTCAAAAAAAACCCGTAAAACAGTGTCTACTATTCCCTATCTGGCAGCGCTAAAATCTCACAAAAACAGCAGATAATTGATTTTACCATTGTCCCAAAAAGAAATAATTGCTAAAAATGAAAAAAAAAATCAGTTTTTCATCATTGCTATCATTATTTATCATATCCCCCCTTAATTCTGAAATATCTCTTTGACATGCTTGTAGTGCAGATTTATTTATAATCTTGTGGAGAGAGACAACAAATAAACTTACAGCTAAACTGATATCCTGGAGAAGATGTTGTTAAACATTTACCTGTGAGTGCTCTAAATGAAATTATTAGGATTTTATAATGTGACAAGCAAATCATTTATAGCATATGTTCATGTGTATATCCAGACTGACGAGGACTATTAAACTATCTACTGGACTATTCATTGAAGGCTACTACACACTGTCACTGTTCAGTCAAACTGGGAATAGGTCAAAGGGGAGTGCTAATACTATGTGTGTCAGACTCTTCTTTAACCTCCTCCAAACCTAAATCTTACTTTTAGATAAATCATTCCTTTAAAATGTCATTTGAAGGGCCAGCCACCCCCTTCTTTTGTTTTAGGAAATTTAAATTCTATGTTAATGCTTTTATTTTTTTTGTATAAAAAAGTTAACAGTCGATCACACCCTCTTTCAGTTATAATATAAAACCACATTTCTATGTGTATATTTAAATTTAATCTTAGGATGTTTTTTAATTTGAAAATAACCACCCCCGTTACAATTTGATATTAAAATTAATTGGAATATGCTTTTTTATACAGGAAACAAAGAAAGATATTTTTTGTATATTGGAACACAATATGCTTACCTTAATGTCCTTATTTCATAAGCCATAAATGTAATAATTCTGTGTGCAAATTGTTGCTGTAAAAACTGGACATATGTCTGAAAGAAGATACAGGATTATATAAGATAAATCGAATACTTAACTTATTCTTATTTTTTTTTTAACTGTGTATATATATATTTTATTTTGGAATGGTTTACACCCTAATGTATACCATAGGACCCAGTTGATTTACACCCTAGTGACCCACCATACTTATCGAACTATTGGAAAGTTTTCATTCAACGAACTCTGTAGCAAGAAATGCATATATGATGAAAGTTTTATCTCTTACCAAAGATAAAAAAGTAATATTAACTTCATACAAGTTAATTGGAAATTAATAAGAGACGTAATATTTTCGTTATACTATCGGAAACAACACATGCGCACTTTGAAAAAAAAAAACCACAATGTTATGTTCAGCGTAGACCGACATACACTGTAACACTCTCAACATCCTAGAGCTGTCAAGAGTATTACGGTTCTAAATCACATTTAAAATATTTTTTAAACAAACATCAAACATAATTAAAGGTTCTTCTATAATAAATTGATATATTTTATTTTTTATGGAATCATTTACCTTTGAAGGCGTGTTAATCAGCCTGCATATCATCGTCTGTTTACATCTTCTAAGCAACAACTAAATGTGTATTCCGATCCCGATGCCAAAATCAGCTCTCGAAAACAAACATTTTTGAAATTTGACCATGAGCGCAGTCGAGAACATGCATGAAATTTACATATAATTTAAAGAATTTATAATTTCATATTTATACTTAAAACCGTTTATGTTCTCACTTGCGCTCATATATAAATCCTTAATAGTAGGTAAGGAATGAGTGCCATTATAGAAATAAGCCAAGTATATGGTTTTCAAATACCGTGAAAAATTATACTACAACTAAAAATCCAAATTATCTCCATATATTCATTTGATATAAAGAGTGTTCATTTCATTCAATTCAAATTACCATCTTCTTAGGTATTTTGTAAATTCATAAATCTTAGGGGCCCAGAAGCCCTCTTAACAATTTTTAGCCCTTCTTCAATTTGTTTTTTCAAAAAAAAAAGTTTTCTAGACTTCTCTAGAAATTGAACTTCATCCCCGAATGTGAATTTGAACAACAAGACAACTAATATTTAGAAAAATAGCATATAAAACTGTTTTATGCTCTTGCAATTCTTTGCTCTTCTTAGGCCTTTGCTGTTTTTGTCAAGTGTATAGACTGGGTCATTCTCAAAAAATGTCCAGATTTCAGTGATACAAGTTTTCTGGTAAATATTTTAATAAAATAAAAACTTCTTTGTGCTCATGAACTTAACAATGATCTAAACTTAAGAAAATAGATTTAAAGTTCGATTAAAAATTGATATAAATACTGAAAAAATCCTTTAACATCAGTTAAATTGCTCAGCTTGAAATAAAATATTCCACAGAGTCTGACACATCTGTTTCATATGAACTAGATATTTCACTTAAAAAAAAAGACGTTAATGGTAATGTAACAACCAAGCTATACGACAAATGTGATTAATAACTTTTCTATCATCAACTCTCTTACTGATGCAGCAATATACCTTCATCACCTGGAGATGGATTATATATCTCAGCTGATTCAATATGCAAGAACATGCTCTACATATGAACTTTTTTGAAAACGAGGTAAATTACTGAATAGCAAGTGATTGAAACAACAAAAAATATGTCCATAGGACATGAATGCCCCGCCGCATCATATAACCTCCTTGTAGAGAGATTGAATAATCTTCTTTATAAATCCCATAAACTTACCATCTTGGAAGCATGAGCCAATTTCATTTTCTGCAGAATCATCATAACCATCATCACTACAGCCTTCTGTTTCTGACATAAATAACAGATTGGTTGATAATTCAGATATACCACAAAAATAACTGATATAGTAATTCAAAAATACCAAAGGAAGAGAAAACCTTTAAAAGTAGCAGTTGGGACTTGAAACTTTACAAAGCAACTAGAACTGCCCAATAGAGACAAATACCCCCCACTAGGTTTTTCAGAGTAGATGCCAATTAACAAATTTTATTATTTTTCCATTTCTTATAACTTTGTATAAACAAACATCTCTTGCGTTGTTTAAGAAATAAGATATCATTTTTAGAGCTGCATTGGGGTATGACATGAAGTCGGTCACGTGATCAAATTCTATAGCACCTGAAGGGCGTTATAGTAGATTTGATCATGTACCGACTTCATGTCATACCCCAATGAAACTCTAAAAATGATATCTTATTTCTTATATTTATATTTTACGTTTTCATTCATTTTACAAACAAATATAGGCATTATTTAGACTTAGATTTTGAAATGCAACGTAACGTTGCTATGACGTTATGTGACGTCACAGTCGGAACTTTCCAAATTGCATGTGCAGTTTGTTTTCCATACGCAAGAAAGTCTGATCATGTGACCAACTGCATGTCATCGAAAATTGAATTTCATTTTTTTAGTATTGTCATATAAGGAAAGACAATGGCAAATGTAAATATAAGCAAATAATCAGCAATTGGTTGCATTATAGCTTGACAGACAGACTGATAGATGGAAGACACTTTACTATCACATAAGCTTTTCTGGTCCCTGGTGAGAAGAGGTAAAAATAAACAATTTTTTATTATACAGTGTATATCAATATTACTTTTTACTGACACAAGCTTAAGAGATAAACATTCTACCGGGTAAATGATAAGAAAATACATTCATCCACTTACCAATATTCCCTTCTAAAGAATTAAAAAATTTCCCAACGGTCGTTATGGTTTTCAAAGCGGGTGGACATTGGTAGACATTTTCGTTAATATTTTTGGAATGTCCAAGATGTTTGAAAAACATTTCCCTGTCAAGGGGTGATGCATCCAGCAGAGAATATACTGTTGAAACATAGTGCCTCATGTCTGTTGCATTGATACTACGTTCTAATCCAGCCTTTTTGCACATTTTGCTTACACAAGTCCATCCAGTTGCATGATTCAGTGAGTGCTTTGTATTTGGAAATGCAAATTTATTCTTTACATTGATATCAGCTCCTCTGCGTACATCCACATCAGTAAGAATTGACATTGCTTTCCAGCAGTCCTTGGGAATTAAAAGGGGCACAAGCTTGGCCACTTTCGATGCATGTATATATGCTATTTTGGTTTCACATAAAAGCTTTTTTTCAATCGCATCTTCAATCAATTGAACTTTACCGGAATCTATCCAGGCTTCACTAAGAGCATCATTCCATTCTTTCAGTGTCAAACGACTAGGTTCCCCTCCCCTCCGTGCATTGAACAATGTCAATCTGCACACAACAGCATCTCTCAGCTGGCTATATTTATTATATTCCATGATCTCATATACATCAGATGCCAACTGCTCCATTGCTTCTTTGCTATAATCCCTAAGTTTTGCAAGATCCTCCTCAAGAAGTAATCTCTCCGGCCTTCTCAAATGAGACTGTCTTTTCTTTAAGCATGCTTCCTCAGATGCAGCAAAGAATGAAGGCCAAACAGTTTGCATAATTGTGAGGAATTTGCTCATCTCATCAGCTTTGTCATCTTCTTTTGAAAGGAGGTAATTCGCTCTCATTACCTTACAAACATCTTGTATGAGGTATCTCATGTTTTTTTTTAATGCATCCTTAACAGTATTATCATCCCTTGTAGTCATATTAATAATGGCATCTTGAACGAGTTCAACAGCATCCCGATTGAACATTTCACTGCATGATTCAGAGGTAATGGGCGGATCGACTGTAGCTAAAACTTTCTTAAATTCTAGGTAGAGATGAGCCAGTCGCCTCAGGTTGGCCATCAGTGATGCTCTCTTTTCCATTTTCTTTTCGGATCCCTCAAAATTTTTGTAAGAAAAATACCCATATCTTTGAATCCATTCATCAGACCTGATCAGTGTCCCAATCTTAGTGTTTTGGAAGCACTCTAGTATTTCCTGTCTATAGGAATTAGAAAAAGCTGGATTTGATCTCAAAAGCCTAACACTGCAAGTGGAGGGATAGTCAGCTGTGTTTTCTGCTGCAACACATTTTATCTTGTGTCTGCAAATAATCTTCTTGCTGAAAAATCCCTTACAGAGAGAGCACATAGCTAAAGTTTCACTACCTTGTTTTCGTTCATTTAAAAGATTGTTATAATCTGGATTATCATCCATCAGGATATCTGAATTAAATTTAAAAATTCCTTCTCTCTTAAATCGTTGGAATTCTCTGTCCTTTAGTTCCTTTGGTAGTTCTAGTGCAACTCTGACGCTTTCTTCAGTCTTATGCTTTCTTTTTATATGCTCAGTCAGTCTTGAGGCAAAAGTCCCACAAAAAGGACATGGTCTGCTTGGTCTTGATTTCTTGTTAGTGTTACTCTTTTGAACTGAAAAACATATACAAAAATGGCATAAGAGAGATTAAATAGTATACAAAGTGATATTTAACGACCTTCTTTTTATTTAACACATTCTGAGGACAAAAAATGCATCAATGACAGACTGAGTTTGATGATTCTTAGCTTATAAGTACCCAAAACATTTAAAAATTTCAGTAGATTAGGTTCACTGCACATGTTCTTAAATCTCAATCTAAATTAGACAATGTCTTTTGTATAAATCTCAGCACAGACTAACAACAATATGAATGAACAATGTATCCTTTATTCAAGGCCTCCAATCCCATGACAGTCTGGAGACTTTTAAATGAAGAATAAGACTGGAAATTATACAAAGGTTGAATAAGTATTCAATGAGCCATTCCTCATGTGCAACTACATGTGCAAATAAACTCAAAAACCAACATGTATGACATACCTGTTGATTCAGTAGTTTTATCCTCTACTGGCAATGTATTTCCAGAACTTGATTCCTTTAATGAAAGAAATTGAATAAATGTATATATAGCTACAGAAAAAGGGACTTTCACATCTTCCTACAAATTTCAACAACCTGAAAATGCTTTCTTTTTAACATGATTTCTTATTAATATAATTATTTATCGTTTCACTAGTTTTTTTTTTTTTTAAAGATTTGTTCCAATTTACAGTTTGTTTTCATATTAAGTGTTTTCTCTTCCAGTTACAGTATATACTCGCCTCTTAGTTGTTTTTTGGGTGTCAAATTTTGAAACAAAAGATAGGTCTGATTTATATGTAGGAGTCCTAGAAATTTTGGATTTTTCATAAAGGCACTTGGACACAGATTTGAAGTTAATATTTTTTCTATGATATTATGACATATATTTTAATAGCATTTCACACAAAAATTAATGAAAATTTTTATTTCATTGAAAAGTTATTAAAATTTTTATTTTTTTGGCGGGTTTGATTGACACATCCTTGCATTTTCACAAATTTTAACTTTAATACCTTAAGGTATCCGATCCATATTTAGCCTCAGATTCAATGGAATTGAATGCAACATAGATATGTATAGGCTTAATAATCAGTGTATTTAGAACTCATTTTCTTCTTTTAGTTTAAGAATGTAAGAGTGGGACATGTCCTAATTAATTACCCTTTCCTGCCTTTGACGAGTTAATTCCCTTTGATTTAACTCAATAAAAATTAAATCTAAAAAATCTGTCTGGTTACTAAATTTCATTTGAATATGTGCAACCTCTGCAAAGAAAATGAATGGAAACGGCAAATAAGTGGAATTTTCATAAGTCCAAAGGGCATAACTCTAAAAAAATTTGTGCGACTGTACCCAAAACAGAACTTGACCTAGATATTCAGCTGAAACATCTGTATACTAAATTTCATTTCAATTTGTGCAACCTCTGCAAAGAAAATGAACGGAAACTGCAAATAAATGGAATTTTTCTAAGTCCAAGGGGCATAACTCTGTCAAAAAGGGTGTGATCGTACCCCAACAGAATTTGACCTAGATATTTACCTGATAAACCTGTATACCAAATTTCATGTCAGTATATGCAGCGGTTGTAAAGAAAATGAACGGAAACTAAATGGACGATGTCCTAATTAATTACCTACCGACCTTTGACGGACAGTTAATTCCCTTTGATTTAACTCAATAGCAATATGCCCTCCCTTCTTCGAAGGGGGGCATAAAAACATAGGTAATCAAAGATTACGACGCTCACCTCGACGAATGTTATCAGTTTAAGTAATGCAAATCCTACATCATATTTTCTTAATATTAAGTATTCATCCCAACAACAATATTCTTGCAAGTTGTGCTTAACCCTCTACATGGCATATACACATTTAGTGTTAAAACTGCAGATATCAAAGACTTCAAGTTCATTCGGATTGATCTGTTACCAAAACTTTAACTTGGTCTCTTGTATGGAAAATATAGGTCAGATCCAGCATCCCAAGCAAGTCTGATAGTGTCCATCCTAAGATACATCATCGATGCAAGTTTGGTTTAACTAGGGCTTATAGTTACTTGGGAATGAAAATGTAGGTCAGATCCAGCATCTGAAGCAAGCCTGGTAGTGTCCATCCTAAGATACATCATCCATGCAAGTTTGGTTTAGCTAGGGCTTACAGTTACTTGGGAATGAAAAATGAAGGTCAGATCCAGCATCGGAAGCAAGGCTGGTAGTGTCCATCCCTAGATACATAAATGAAGGTCAGATCCAGCATGAAGCAGTCTGTAGTGTCCATCCCTAGATGCATTATCCATGCAAGTTTGGTCCAGGTAGGTCTTATAGTTCCTTGGGAATAGAACTGCTCCAAAAACTTTAACCTGGTCACTCAACCTGAAAATGTAGGTCAGACAGCATCTGAAGCAAGTCTTTGTCCATTAGATGCATCATTCATGCAAGTTTGGTCTTAGTTGGGCTTCCTCTTGGGAATGGACCTGCTCCAAAAACTTTAACCTGCTCCAAAAACTTTAACCTGGTCACTTGTCTAGAAAGTATAGGTCAGATCCAGCATCCGAAGCAAGTCTGGTAGTGTACATCCCTAGATGCATCATCCATGCAAGTTTGGTTCAGCTAGGGCTTATTTACTTGGGAATGGACTTGCTCCTAAAACTTTAACCTGCTAAAACGCCGGGGGTATAGCAAGCTCATCTCGACTTCGTCGAGGTGAGCTAAAATGCAACATTTTCTGCCGGTGTTTGAGATATTTAGTGTCGAAAATAAAAACCCCTATGAGGAAACATGTACATAAAATTACCCCATGAAAAAACCCACAAAAACCCAGTGGGGTTTAATATTCTCCCCATGGATCCACCAATTACAAGTTTAGATCTTTGTCACACATGACATATGAGCTTAATGTTTAAACTCAATTAATAATATCCTTAATTGATCCACCACAATTCAAACAAAATAAAATAAATATCCACTCCCCATGGATCCGCCACTTATAACTTTAGATCTTGATCACACATGATATGTAAGCTTAATGTTGAAATCAATTACCCATAATCATTTATATCCTTTGATCCACAACAAAAACTTAAACAAAATAAAATTATTATACACTCCCCATGGATCCACCACTGAAAAGTTTAGATCTCGATCACACATGACAATTATGAGCCTAATGTTTGAACTCAATATGAGCCATAATCATTAATATTCTTTGATCCACCACAATTTAAACAAAATAAAATTAATATCCACTCCCCATGGATCCACCACTTACAAGTTTATATTTTGATCACATATGACATATAAGATTAATGTTGAAATCAATTAGCCATAATGATTTACAGTATATCCTTTGATCCACAACAAATATTTAAACAAAATAAAATTAATATCCACTCCCCATAGATCCACCACTTATAAGTTTAGATCTCGATCACACATGACATAAAAGCTTAATGTTTGAAATCAATTAGCCATAATCATTAATATTCTTTTACCCACCACAAATATTTAAAAGTAATATCCACTCGAAGCTCCCCTTGGATCAACCACAACTATTATATAACATTAATTAATATCCACTCCCCCCTTGGACCCATCACTTTAAAATTAAGATCATGATCAAACATGACATATAAGCTAAATGTCTGAAATAAATTAACCATAATCATTGATCATTAATATTCTTTGATCCTGCATCCACCACAAATATTTTAAAAAGATTAACATCCACCCCCTTGGATCCACCACTTATAAGATTAGATTTTGATCACATATAAAATATAAGTTAAATGTTTTAAATCAATTAACCATAATCATCACATGATCATTATTGATTCCTTTGACACATTACAAAAATCTAAAAATATATCTATCCACGCCCCTTGAATCCACCACAACTATCAAAACATTTATCGGTAAAATATACATGCCTTGATCCACCACTTTATATCACACAAAGAAAAATTACCTAAATGTTTGAAATAAATTTGCAATAATCATTAGAATGAATTAGAATAATAATAAGAATGAAATTTAATTGCATCTGTATGTTTCTAATATCAGCAACAAAAAAAAAAACAAACAAAAAACAGGTACAATGAACATGATGAAATAAGACAACATTTTTATAAAAGCATTCATAGATATACTACGGTACTTTATTTACTACTAGTAAGTTTTTGAAATTTATCACCATGATCACATCCACCAGCTCGACTATTAAAACTACATTGGATAACAAATCAATTAAGGTTTTACATAAATTATGTTCATAATAATTAATATTAGAATTTATATTTAAGTTTATATATGAAAGTCATTTTTGTGTAGACTCACTCTTAAACTCCAGGGAAGAACCTAATAAAGTTCAAACTATATAACAAAACAAAATATGTTGGGTATGACCTTATAAGAAAACTGAATTTTCATCCTGCATGGTGCAGTCAGGCGATATTGCATCAATATCGCTTTTTTAATTAAAATAGATCTACATGCACGTCAAACTTGATTTTTTTTTCTGTTCGGTACTTAGACTTTCTAAATATAAATTATTCATTTATTGTTAATTAATTAAAAGAAGACCCTAAAATTTTATCCAGAACATATACATCATCATGTCAAGGTCAGTCAATCCCTTTTACTGTATGGTTCTCTTGATTTTTGTCCTACCCACTTTAGCGAATACAAAGAGTTTATTAATTGTATCTTAATATTCATCTGTCATCTGTAAGTCTGTTGGTCTGTTCATCTATACAAAAACTTAAAACCTTGGTCAAAACTTTTGAATGAGATGAGATAGGGCTTTCGAAATGTTCAGATTATACATGCATTACCTGAGGCAATTCCTTTCTTAATGAACTAGTACATGTATGTATTTAATTATGATTTTGTCCATGATACCTTACCCTTGAAGTATGACCTACTTTTCAAAAATAATCAAACTCTCCATGGTACTTTTTATTTAGAAGAGATAGGGATTTCATATTATACATGTGCATTAACTGTGGCATTATATTTCTGAACATGCTATGATTTCTGACCCCTTGATATTTACCTTCATGTTTGACCTAATTAAAAAAATGGTGCTACATTGAATTAACTCTTCAATGACATATGATAGGGCTTTCATATTTGACGTAATATATATATTATACAATTATTGAATTTTGATGAGGTCTACTCGTGACTATACAGACCTGGTCAAGGTATTGGTTGACCGAGGCCGAAGTCAATAACCGTTTTATTAAATGATCAGGAATTTTACCACACTTTTGACATTTTCGTTCTTGTCTACATCAAATAAAAACACTCATAATAAAATGCAAAGTGTAACAAAACTTTCACATGTTGTTATACTTCAATAGCTTATAACAACTACTAGCTAAAAATGGAAAACAATATTATTAAACAATCAATACTTCCACCATTTTATTTTATTATCAAAAGTGTTTAATCTCCTTGGTACTGTGTGTCCACATGTTTACATTCACACAACACATGCTTAAAAACATGCAATCTGATTGGTCAAAAAACTGTAAACACATCTATGGTTGATTAAGAGGAAAAACATGAATACCCCAACCCCCCCCCCGAATGTAGACATATGAGGTGAAGTCACTCTGATCGAGGTACGTCTCAGGAAATGGTGTCTATACCAATCAGAGAGCACCAAAATTCCTGATCATTTAATCCAAATACTATTATAATAACATCTCACCAGGTATGAATTATTCACATGATACAGAAAAATAAATTAAGATTCCATAATAAGGTATTTCCATACATATCGTATGATTGGTTCTTTGTTTTTGATGTGATAATTTTTGGTTCATACAGTTTTTAAAAAAAAGAAAAATTAGAGATTTCACATTCATACCACTGCAGCAGTTGAACAGATCCACCCTTGTGAGTACCCCATAAAAGTACACCCCCCTCCCCCATTTGGGGCTTAATTTTTTTGAATTTATTCCCAAAGACTGACTTTTATTAAATTAATTCATAAATATACAATGAACTTGAACTTGATTAACCTTAGACAGGCACAATGTGTCATTATGATCTAACTGATAGATATCAGTTGCAGTTGACAAAGTTGCAACTTGTGGGGAAAATATTCCATGCCAAAACATATTCCTCCTCCCTTGGGTAAGACAGTAAACTAATAAACGTGATAAAAATTTCATTTTTGACCATGTATACACCCCAAAAATCTCCAGTCTCTATGTGGTAATATCTACCACATATGACAGCACCCTGATTCCATTTTGCCAGAAATAACCCCCAATTAAATTCATAGCATGCTAATACAGTGTAATAGGCTATTCTCTTTAGAGAAGTGGACTGGATGTAGGCGAAAGCCTGTCCACTTCTCTAAAGAAAATATGTAATAGGCTAGTAATACTTGCATCACCATCAGTTTCGTACACAAACTTTCTTCAGACACTGACTGACAGCAGAATTCCAATGGACATTGGATGATGTAAATGGAGTAATTCACACACGCTAAATCAATCAAATTGATTTAAAAACTTGCGTGAATTAACCCTTGTTAAAATAAAGTTAACTTCTTACTTCCATGACATCCCAGACAGGTGGTCTTCTTGTAAAGCACTCATTCGACTTTGACCAAGTGTTCACTAAAAGGCCGAATTGACTTTTGACATAGTGTTCAGTCCGAATAGATGATAACCCAAAAGCAGTAGATTTATTTTATTTTTTGTTGTTGAATATTTAAATTTTCTTATATCAAATGTATATTAACTGCTCAATCTGGTCTATTTTCATTTTAATATTTTTTTTCTCATGATTAATTTACCGTTACAAGCATATGTTACTTTTTCTATTGAAAATGTTCATTGAAGTATAGTTACCCCCCCCCCCCCCCGGTTAATACTATGTACAACGGTAAAGTAATATAAGGGAAATGTAGAATTGTATGCAAAAAAAAAATGGTACAGAAAGAAGTTGGCATCTGAAAAAGTGGCCTCTAACACCCCCCCCCCCCCAATAGGATTTTCGAGTTTAGGCAATTTTTTTTTTTTTTGGTTTTTTTTTTTTTTTTTTGCTTGTCAACTTTTCCAGTGCACGTAAGTAAAAAATAAAAATCAATTGTCTAACTTCCCGTTTGAAAAACGATGCCACGTGCTTGAAACATCAGTTTATTTATTTTTTATTTCCATGATTTTTTTTTTAATTGAAAGATTTAACTATCAATTATCAAATGTTTTGTGTTGTGCCAGATGGTAAAAACATGCTACATTGCTTTTTGATAGAATAAATTTTATACATTTTATTCTATATAAATAATTTGAATCCCATATTGCTAATGCATGGAAATCGCATATATATTAGGTATGATAGAGGGGCACATATATTCAACCATTGTTTACTTCGGCGCACAGAGAATGTTCGAACCACTCTATACACATGCAGAGGATAGAAAATCTATTGTAAGATTCACCCTCAGGGCTGTTTTCCGAGGGGTATACATATACGCACATGTGTACGTATATAAATTATTACAGGATTCGGATCCACGCATAAATACTGACACCTGCCATTTCTTATTTATATTGCATAATAATAGTCGTCCAGTCCCGTCTTCGAGCACTGTATACATGTACTTTCAAAATGTTAATTTCAGATTTTAAAATTATGGTTTCTAATAATATAAATAGATATCATTTCTACCTCAACTGAGGAAGCATACAAAAGATTGCAAGCATGTTTTGCTTGTTTTTAAAATTGAAATCAACAATTAAATCTGTTTATTTTTTTTTCATAGATTTTAAACTCTGGACATATTTTATTTTAAATGTCAGTTTGTTCAAAAGTGTAGCGGACAGTATTTAGGGAACTTATAATGCCTCACTAGTGAGCTAGCTTTTCTGGTGATGCGGTAGAGTCTCCCTCTATTTCAGGCAAGTTAAGCAAAGGCGAGCCTGTTTAACCCTTGGATGGGTGACCGCTTCACGTTACAAAAGTAAAAAGCAATAAGTGATGGGGGTGGAATATCTAAATATATATCTGGGGCGTGTAGATATTGTTTCTCGGAAGTTAGCAGAAGGGGATGAGTATACTTAACTCCAAACTCTAGTTGCTTTGATATTAATCAAATATAATTTGAGATTATGAAAATAAGATAAAACCAAGAATTTTGATTAAATTTCCGTGAAATCCAACTCGGGTGAAAAGAACACAAAAAAATTCACATTCAGTATACATGTACATTAATATATATTAAATTATCCCATGTTTCCCACTTTTGTTGATGTCCCTGGCATATACTCTTCAAACTAGACAGTGATTCCTTATATTTCCATTTCATTGTGAAATAAAATTGTAGACTTAGACGTTTAAAATGTAGACAAATATATAATTAAGACAGCCTCGTTCAAAAAGATGGACCATCGGACCTATATGTCACTTTTAACAAAATATATGAAATATATACACAAATATTACGCATGGCATTTTTTATACAACAGAGATTGCCTGTGCATGCATGTATGAAAGGTTTAAATATTTTGACGTCTGCCTAGGAAACTTTGTTAAAAGAAAGGTTACAGCGTTAGTGCATAGTCTGGTCCCCTTCCCACAATTCCGTTCGCGCACTCTCTACATTGAGGTCAGGCATCGGTTGATTCACTGTAAGACGTTGCGCAATTTCAAAATGGCGGACAAAGTAAGTAACCATCTCGAGAAATAATTGCTCATACCTATTTGTTTTACATCATGACAACTTATTTCATCAATGCTGACTGTTAACCAATGTTGTTTTCTATTTATTTTTTTATTCATTTGATTTATTTTACGTAAATTTACACTGTTATCACTGGATTAAAAAATGTTTACATTTTTAGAACGTGGAGGTAGTCAAAATTGACCCCCAATATTTCCTTTGTCGTCCAAACCGACATCAAAATTTTATTGTCTAGTCTAATGTATATATGAATGATCTATGTTAGGATATACAATGTTTTATATGTCGCTCCTTATTTAATACAGTAAAAGCACCCCAGATTTTTTATCATAATTCTATCAACAATTAGCATGTGCTCTGGCCAACTATTTCATATATTTGACATAAAACAAAGGTTTAACGCTTCTGTATTGTTTGCATTTTGCTTGTTACACACATCACAACAATTCACACTCACAATCTCAAACTGTTATCCAAAGCATCCAGTCAGAAACTGTCTTCTGAAGGTGTTACACCTAACAAATTTTTTCATGTTATAATCTTGAGTTTGATTTTTACTGCAAGATTTTTCTAAATATTTTACAAATTATTGACGATAAGTCAAATAATACACATACATTTATATTTGTCTTAGATATTTTTATATATTTTTTTAAATTGTATAATGCTGTGGAATTATTTTGATGTGACTGTGGAGGTCATTTTTATAGGACAGACATAAATATATAAATTTGTTTTGTGGATAGGACATAATTTATAAAGGTTAACCAAATAATAATTAAATGAATCTGTGGACTTATAAAATATCCAAATAAGCATTTGTGGATATAAAAATGTAGCTGATTCACTTGAAATCCAAAAATGTTAGTCCTCCTTCCTCAAACAATGATGATTCCATAGATAGAATAACTGCAGAACTGTAGCTCTCCAAAAAAATATTTTGACATACCTGAGAGCTACAGTGCCACCCACTGAAAATATATATATATATTATACAAAATTTGTGCTTGCTTCTGTTTTAATTCTTCCTTACTTCTTAGTATCAAGTACTCTCGTAGTTTACGACTGCATGAAGCATTTGCAAGACCGAAATACTATGCAAACCAAAATGGTAGTATAAATAGACCAAATTTTCGATGATCTCAATTTCAGGTCCAGGAGGGCTACTAACATCAATTATAAGGAATGTTTTGTTGTGAAAACAGTGAAAGAATATGTAAGGAACACATGGTTAGTAATATTTTGAGATGACAGTTTTAAAACATGGAGAAATAAATCAGGAAACATTTCTTGTGCGCAATATATATAGTTTTTTTTCAATTGGTGGCACTGTAGCTCTCAGGTTTGCCCCCAATATTTTTTTTCAAGCTACAGTTCTGCAGCTAATAAAAAAAGAAAAATAGAGCTCTACCTGTCTAAAATAGACAAAGTAAATCCTATTATTTTTCATGAATTAAGACTTCTGCTATGCAAAGTAAAATAATACTGTGCTTTTTGCTATCATGATTTTATTACAGCTTGTTTAATAACAGATTTTAAATAAGTCTCAGAATCAATTACTTTGAATATAAAACTTCTTGACACTACAGGATAACTGATGCTGCATGTGAAAAGAAGATATGAAACAAAAGCCCGTGAGAAAATGTCAACATGAATCATTTATGAATGAAGATGGAGTCTCTAGCCTAAAATTTCTTGAGATAATCAGTGTTGCCTGGTTCATCCAATGAATCAGAATGATCACTCCATTTGCAGACTATCAGGTATTCTTTGGTTCTGTCAATACTTTGGACCTGAAAAAAAATATTGATTCAACATTTTTTAAATCTGACATACAGATTTCAGTGTATGAAAATACTTTAAGAAAGTCTGTCAGTATGTAAAGAAAAATTTCAAGGTATAATAAAATTCAGATCATGCTTATCATATTACATGTACAAGTAACATGAACTGTTTACCAATTTAAAAAAATGCATTTACATGGTCATTTCTCATTTTCAGGTTCCAATCTGAAGTATACAAGGGAAGAGTAAAATCTTTTTCATTCCTATTTACAAACACTTCTTAGATCCAGAAGAATATCCTGATTGCTTTTGTGTACCATAAGATGAATTTCAATCTGACACATAATTCTGAAAAATTGAGTGGAACACCATGATCACTGGATGGTCTTCTTGGACTGGCCATGTCTTTGTCACAATATCTTGACTCTGCATTGTCATCAAAACTTTGCATTCCTTAAAATACAAAGACAATTTTTATAAACTAAAACAACAGACTTGATAAAAAGGCTAATATCAAAAAAAACATGTCATTATTTACCCTTTTTTTTTCATTTTTAATTATTTTATGAAATTAAAACTCTTGCGAAAATTAGAACCTGCGACTTATTGTCAAGCAGAGGTGTTCCAGAAATAAGATAAACGGCTCTTTTGATGGTAGGATAACCAGATGATGTAGATCAGTCACTGGGACAACAGAAATAGAACCTCTGTCGGCCGTGAAGTCACCTTAGGAAGAATGCGGCGAATATCTGAATGCTATGGATTCATGGTTTCATCATACTGTATATATCCACCACTGAAGCCTAAGATATGAAATGTTACAAAGTATTTATAGTGATCATATTTCTGGTATTCCTAAAAAAAATGGTTTTATCTTCTTTTTTTTATTGATATGCACCACTGTGACAGCAAATTTTAAGTATTTTGTGAATAAAAAAATTGAATCCACAGCTTTTGATTTAATTTGATTGTGTAATGGTTACAATTGTTTGTTTACATTTGCTTGAAAATTTAATTATAATTAGAAATAGCGGTAAATCTATTTCTGCATTATTTTACCAATGGGAAAAACCCCTCCTTGCGGTTGCCGGTAGATACAATATTTTCCTGCAGGCCAGCTTGGCGAAATTGTATTTTCTTCCGTTTTCTTCTTAGTACAAAATTTGTAAAATGTAAAGGTGGCTTTAAATGATGTCAGCATTAAATGTGGAACTTGTGTGGTCCATCCTGGTGTCTTTAATATGATGAGTAAAACTGCCTTCATAAAACCCTCTGGGACAGCCAGTTACATGTATCCAGGTACTTAATCTGGTAAAGGTGTCAGATGGCCATTTTGTTGAAATCATTCGATCTGAAGAAATAAATATTAGGTACCAAAAGCTTTTCTGAAATTAATTCATCTTATTCTTTAATCTCTATAAGATATACATGTATTTTTGTTACATTTGCCTCCGTTTGGCTAGGCTGAAGTAAGGACTTATTTGACCTTGACCGTGTCTTGGAGGAATAACATAAAATAGTCATGATGGAGCTTTTGGCACTCCAAACTTTTATGCCAAGTATGCAGATTCAATTTGATGTAAAATAATAAGGGAATTTTTGAAAATAAAAGAACATTTTTTAATTTTAAAGTTTGTACAATTTTCTATCATCACTGGACTTTCAGAAAAGTGTGGCATTCTCGACACTACATGTACGTAGTTAAAGTATCCCAAATGGCAAATAGATTCTCATTTGTTAAGAAATTAATAAATCAGAACTTTAAATTTTTGTTGACGACGATGAAATGACCTAAGTCGTACCTCTTTGCTGTGCGAAATGCTGTTAATGAGTATTTATTACACTCGTTGACATTCTCCCAAATTTTTTCCCATATATATTACAACAGTGAATGAAAGCTTTGTGATTTAGGGATGCTTTAATATGTAACATTCAGAACACCACACCTTATTGAAAGCCCAAGGATAACAGAGAGTTGTATGTGTACTAAGTTAAATACCCCCCCATCAAAATGGGTCGGACATCCGGTATGAGATCCAGACCCTCGGGACAGCAAACAAGTACACGTGTCCTTGACAAAAGCGGGGTTACCAAGTGGCACAGGTAAAAGAAAACTGGTACACTTCAGACCTATAAACAGAATATAGTAAACTGAACATAAAGCGAAGAAGCATTACCTAATACAGTAAAACTCAGTTTTACAGAAATTACATCCTATATCCTTTTAAAATTCCTTACATCCATTTTATTCATTATATATAAGGAATTTGCTTAATTTATATTGCTGAGAATACAAGAATAACTTCCCTATTGTGTGAATTCACAATATTCATCATCGCATATTTGTATTTAACAAGTTTAACTGTATGAACTTTGACTTGCTTTTTGAGTCCTGATATACACCATATTAATTTGCATATTATTCCTTTTGTAAATCTGTAAAATAATTAATTTATAATTAATTTGACTTACTCTCCTTGTAGCTAATATCATTTGAACTGATAAATCTGTTTCACGGTAATATCATTGTTGTCTGTTCATTTGTACTTACAATAAGATTGTAACCACGCAATGACTTGGAGAAAAGGACAAACATTATACGGTGTGCAAGATTAATTTAAACGAATTACTCTTCAAGTTTAAACTGTAAGCTGTAGAGGGGTTGTTCCTGTTGGGCTTCCGTCTCTCTTTTGGCTGACCATCATGTCTTTAATACAGGGGATTAAATGTTTTCAGTATCCTGGTAAATTTTATGAAATGCAATGAACGATGGAAAAGCCTAAAAAAACCCATACAAAATAGAGATATTAATGATTATCTGAAAGCTATAATGAACCTGTTACAATATAAAAAGGATTGGTACATTTTTCAAAATGTATTGCCTTGGCAAGTTGGCATTACAGTTGTATGAAAAATTATTATGTATGCAAGGATATTAATAGATTGTGGTGACCTACCAAACTAGCACCACCTTTAACTGCTAAACATCTGTATAGTGGTGGGATTCACTTCCACAAGCCTTCATGAAAATTACATGTTAGATTCATGCTATCATGTAAATATTATGCTGGATAAAGTGGAAGGAAATTACGGTACCAGCTAGGGGAATCATAATAAAACAAAATAATACACAGGGGTTTAATCCCTCCCCCTTTTCAACTTATATGATGATTGCATGGACAGCAAAATGCAAACGATATGAAGCGTTAAACCTTTGTTTTATGTCAAATATATGCAATAGTAGGCCAGAGCACATGCTAATTGTTGATAGAATTATGATAAAAAATCTGGGGTGCTTTTACTGTATTAAATAAGGAGCGACATATAAAACATTGTATATCCTAACATAGATCATTCATATATACATTAGACTAGACAATAAAATTTTGATGTCGGTCCACGACAAAGGAAATATTGGGGGTCAATTTTGACTACCTCCACGTTCTAAAAATGTAAACATTTTTTAATCCAGTGATTACAGTGTAAATTTACGCAAAATAAATCAAATGAATAAAAAAATAAATAGAAAACAACATTGGTTAACAGTCAGCATTGATGAAATAAGTTGTCATGATGTAAAACAAATAGGTATGAGCAATTATTTCTCGAGATGGTTACTTACTTTGTCCGCCATTTTGAAATTGCGCAACGTCTAACAGTGAATCAACCGATGCCTGACCTCAATGTAGAGAGTGCGCGAACGGAATTGTGGGAAGGGGACCAGACTACGTTAGTGCAGTGTCTATGGAAAGGCAGCTTCCAACTGAATTCTCCATGTAATTCTGGTATCGGTGTAATTTTGTGAATCCCCAAGTAGTAACAAAGTGCGCGATTCTGTACCATCTCAATGCAGTGATAGTTTCGAAGACCCCATATTTCACTACAATAGTCCAAAACTGGTGCTACGTAATTCAGAAAGTTTTTTCGAAAGTTGAAATCCCTATATCTTTATTTTGAGGAATTCTGGAAACCATCCCTCCGAAAGCACGTCCTCCTGCTTTTGACAACGTATCGGCATTATTTTGGAAAGTAAGCTTTCATGGAATATAACACCAAGATATTTGTAATCCGACCTGTATTGTAGATCCTCGTTTACGGAAATGCATTACTGCTGATTTTTCATATTTATACGCAAGTAACTAGATAAGTCAAATATATAAACCTCCGATTTAATGCAATATCAAATGTATATATTAGTTTGGTTATATATGTTTTAAAGTTGGAGGAAGATGATCAGAAGCATACATTATACATACCTCTGGGATGTTTTGTAATATTACATTTTAATTAAAAATTAAGCCTTATATTTTCAAAAAGAGCAACCATTAACTGATTAACATGTTATAATTAATAACAATTGGTACAGTGTTCTCTTAAACGACCCTTACTTTTATCTATATATTTTATACACTTCTCAACCCTTTATTGTCGCCTCTGTGAAAGTCTACGTACAGGTGCGCGATAAACTGGCTTGATTTTGAATTGTCTGAGAGATTAAAGAAATTCTAGCACAAACGAGTTTTTTGCTTGTAGAAACGGTTATAAAGGGTTTGGAGGCGTCTGAAATATACATATTTATTAAAAACGTGTCTAGAATCATTATGCATGGACAGGTTGGTGATTTACAAATTTTGGAAAGTTGAGAAATTCTCCCCAACAGTGCGAAAAATACTTTTATTACACGTTTTTTTTTTTGCATTACAGGGTCTGTAGCGTTATGTCAAATCTTAAGATATTAAACCATAACGCTACAGTTCTGCGGCTAAATACATGTTTTTAATCTTCATATAGCTGAATGGTTCTTGTGTGAGATATGTCGTCCAAGATATATGTTGAATTTTGGTGAGTGATTTGCCGTAATTGAAAGTCCAATGATAAAATGGAATACATGTATAACACATAAGAAATTATCACCAACGGCTTGAATTACAAAAGATTCCCTTTTCGCATGTGTTATCTTCGTAAATACCAGTACATATATGGAAACAATATACACTATGCTATAATTAGTACTTGAATTAAATCGAATTTCCTCTTACGTCTGTCTTTATTCCTAATGGAAAGGTGAAAAATAACGAAAATATGAATATATTATCATCACTCTTTTACTTTTTCATCGACGTAAAAAAATTAATTAAAGGACAAAATACATAATTACAAAATTAACACATATAGTCATTATTAAGGATCATTGTTCACAGTGAGGAACTTTTATATTGAAAATACATGATTTAGTCTATCTTCCATGATTTTGCCCCGCGCTTACTTCATAATTACATGTTTCATATGTGTTTTTCTTT